TGTGACTAACTGTGTAATAATTCAAGAAATGATAAAAGTGTCAATGCATGTACTGTGTAATTTTAAGTATAAAAAATAAAGACTTGCTGGGCTGGGCAAGCAGAAAGAAGAAAGAAAGGAGAAGGAACTGGCAGAGCCAGGAGAGCAGAGCTAAGAGAAGAAGAGAGCAAGAGGGAGAAGGCAGAGAACAGACAGCAGAGAGCAGAGGGCAGACAGCAAAGAGAACAGGAAGCAGAAGCAAGGGCAGAAGCTAGAGAGCATAGCCGGACAGCACGACAAGTTGAAAAGCCTCTCGAGTTGTATTCATTCATTTCTTCACCCGACGTTTCCGCGTATTCGCTCATGTCCCACGACCCCTGCGGAGGGCAGGAACCCCCGCACTCCTCCCCTAAATAAAACAGAGGCCTGGGCCTCCCCAGGTGTGCATTACAGGTTGGAGGGCATGCAGTAAAGATTGCAGTGCATTACGGGTTGGAAGGCATGCAGTAAAGATTGCAGTGCATTACAAGATGGAGGGCATGCAGTAAAGATTGCAGGACAGTGAGTTGCTGCCTGCAGAGGCCACGATGCCTGTAGTCCCAAGCCTGCCCATCAGTGATGTATCCACCCTGGCTTTGGGGTGCCTCATTGTCTCTCTCTTTGTCTCCTTCTGTGTATTCTTGATATATCTTTACCGCCGTCAGGTATCTCCTCCTTGTGAACCGAACCCCTATGTCGAGGCAGGTCCCCGACACATAACCACCACCATCTGTCAGCTGAGCTTCATACTGCAGTAGCCTCCTAGCGGGTCTCCCTGCTCTGCTCTGTCTTTAGTCTGTTATCTACAGGACAGCCAGGGCGATCCTACTGAAGTCTCAACTCCTCAAACCGTGTCACTCTACTCAAAGCCTCCAGTGCTTCCCTGTTCCACCCTGCCCAGATCCTGCCAATGTCCTGTAGAACCCAACATGATGGATCATCAGCTCAAAGACCTTAACGCTCATCACTCTCCCATTCGTTCATTCCACTTCACCTATGGTCTTGTCTTTGCTATTTTCAAGTACACACTTGTCTTTGTACAAACTGTTTCTTCTTCTTGGAAATCTATGAAGGAGATTTTTATTCTATATTTGCGGGAAGCCACAGAAGTTGCCACCAGAGTAGGGATGAGGTTGAGGGTAAAAGTGGCAGGGACTTTGACAAATTCATTCATGGGGAGGCAAAGGAGACTGCACATAGACTAGTTTTCAGGTTCTTGCAGTGGTTCAGGTAAGAGATGGATGTGATGGCTTGGCCTATTGTGATTTGTTGTTGTTGTTAGGTGCCATCGAGTCGGTA